AATCATTATTGGTTATTAAACTTGTATTTTGATTGAAACATAAAAATTCCATCAGACTTTATTCAGCTTCATCCATTGAAATTTATATAATCTTTAATGTTGTTCCAATTTCAAATATATGAGGACCGCTCACAACTTGGACCAGCTCAGTCTTGTCCAAAGCCCAAAAGAAAATGCATTCTATTTTGTTTCATATATTATACGTTAGTGTCTGGTAAAAATTATATATATATATATATATATATATTATACGTTAGTGTTATCTTACACCTATAATGTTTTACATTAAAAAAATTAAAAGAAAACAAAGCTGACATTTGATTACCAGTTCATGTTCTAATTCTATAGTCTAATAAGTTCTATTTGATAATTCTACATCTATCTAATATTATTCTACTATGTTAATTGACCGTTGCCCCCGAAAAATAATTATTCTAGTTCACTAAACAAAATATTATTTAACATAAACTTGCTCACACAAATACAGACAATTTTTTTTTTTCATTTCACTCTTTTTCTTTATATGATAATGCCCTCATAGGAGCCAATTTCATTTTCGATATAAACATGGTTAATCCCTAAGTCATTTAATTTGACTAACTTGATATTCATTTTAGTAGCTTTGAGCATGTTGGTCTTAATTTTTTTTTAAAAAAAAAGGGTTGAACCACGAGAAACCATAAGGCCTGCCTCAACATGATTGATATAATTAATTAAACCTATGCTATAAAAAAAAATTAATTAAACCTCAGCTATGAGCCTATGATATTTTTGTTAGGATTAAGAAGTCTTAGTTGCCAGATGGTTCATTAGGTCTTTGCAAACTTGATGTCATTTATTGATTCAACACATCTAGATAAAAAATAATAAATTTCAGTTTCAAACTCAGCATTTTCTCTTGTCCAATTTTATCCTACACGAGACTTTTTTTCCCCTTCAAATTTTCACTAATATTTAACTCATATATGAAATAGAGTATAAAAAATATGGCTTAATGATCTAGTGGCATCATTTATTTTCATTTGATTGTCATATTAGTATTTTAGAAATCTAAGGTATATATTGGACACAAGAGTGATACCTCAGAATTTCCTAATCTAAATTAACATCTATAATTCCCAATATTCACAAGTGAGATAACAAATTCGTCCCTAAATTTCATTTTAGATGGTAAGAGTTTGAAAGTTTCATGAAGAAATAACTCTCATAATTCATCCAATAATTGAATATTTTTCTCTATATATTTTGTTTAGTCTACCTTGCTTGGAAATGATAATGACGTGTCAAAGCCAAATAATCTATCAAATACATATAAAAAAATTGGTTTTGATTGGCAGCATCACCTTGTTTGCTAATGCATATTATATGGATTAATAAATTAGAACCTCATTTTGCCTTTCACACATTATTAAACGTAGTAGGTCTATAATGGATATTGGAATATATTATGAATAGAATTAGCAAGTGGGAAAAAGATGATGTGGTGGGAAAATGGGTCGTTGAAAGAAAAAATGGATACATTAATAAAATGCAAAGTTGTCACCTTTTTTTTTTTTTTTTAAATTGCATACAATCAAACACACTCACGCGCATAAACTCGTATTAATGTCATGCTCGCGTTTGAGACTTCATCCAAGGGTGATAGGTAACGCTACCATCAGGGCAACCTGTGGTTAACTATGACTATGGCAGTCACCACATAATTGACCATGATTTGCATTAAAAACATATCAATGTAGAACTGAGTGTATTTTGTAAACCACATTACTTCGAAAGTTGTTATTTTGCATGTATCTGAGTTACAGCTTCAAAAGTTTTTCCGCATGTTTTGCATTCAATTTATATTTGATTCATTATTATTAGCGCTCACAATTGTTTTAGCAATGCGTTAGGTGCCTAATTCTTTAACAGTTGAAGGCAGTTGCTTCTGCAGTTAATATATTCTCTCCTTCCTCGTTGACTATGGCAACTTCATCGTTACAGTGATGAGTTGAATCGGGAACTCAAGAACAAGCTAGAGGGAAGAGGAAAGAAGGCGCAGGGAGGAGGAGGCCAAGAAGTTACTCAATTTTGTGGAACGCCAGAAAGCTGTAATCATTTCACTGCTTCTGGATGACAAACTTCGACTACTGCTTCACCAAGATGCTACTGATTTTGATTTTGATTAGCGCTAATAGGTATGGATTTTCCGTTTTCTTTGTGATTTGACGCCATATAATCCTTTTTCCTTTACCGGGTGGGGATTAATATAAGCGCTTTATTTCTCTCTCAGACATGCCAGAATATTAGGTGATTATACCTCCGCCTTTTGATAGTGGATCAGCTAGTTAGGACATCTCAACATAAATACAATTTGTGTTTGTGTTTTCAGTCAGCTGAAATGCAAAGTGCCCAATCTAATAAAGCTGCATCTGCTGATGATGAAGATATAGACCCAACGGTAAAGTTCTCCTCTTGTTACTACTATTTGTAAATGTACTATCATATGAAACCTTCATTTGTTTTCCCGGCAGCAATACCATGAGAATCGGCTGAAGTATCTTGCAGCTGAGAAGGATGAAGTAAAAAACCCTTATCCACACAGATTTGCTGTCTCTATGTGTATTAGTGAGTACATTGATACCTATGGGGGGATGGGCAATGGAGAGCATATTGAGGACACATCTGTGTCTTTGGCTGGTAATGACATTTTTATTTTCTGTCATTTTCTTATGCGTATTTAATGCTTTATGTAATGATGTGTTTGATTCTACATGTTCTGCATTTCCAGGACGAATCATGCAGAAACGGTCTTCAGGTGCAAAGCTTGTCTTTTATGATCTGCATGGTGGGGGTTCAAAGGTCCAGGTTATGGCTGATGCAAGGCATGTAACGTTTTGCTCTTTGCTTAAGATCAAATATTTTGAGACGTGAAAATGTTATAGGATAGTGAATCTTGGGAGCCATCCTTCCCTTGATTTCTGAACTCATGTTAATGACTCATCTTGGGATGAAGGTAGAGCAACGTACTGAACGGAGCCGTCACCACATAAAAATTGAACCGTTCGTCATGTTTTTCCTGTAGCTAAAGGAAAAATTATTTAACATTGATGTGGAATTTTCAGTTTCTTGACCTTGATATGTTGTTGGACCAAGCGAGCTAGCTTCTTTACTACCACTGCATATGTTAATTCATTATTAACAATTTAACTACGTTAGAATTGTATTCCCTGCAATTTTCTTCTCCATGCTGCTGCTGCTGCATGATCTTTAGTTGACGGAGTTTCCATTTTTAATTCGTTTGGTGGGCAATTTTCTTATGTGTGGATTATGTTTTTTTCTATATGATTCTATTCTTTTTTAGTATCTTAACAGGACTAAAGCTGCCCATATTACTGTGGTGCAGGAACTCTGAAATGGATGAGGCTGAATTTTTCAAGTTCCAGGTTGCTCCACTATGTCTCGTTTTTTTTTCCTCCTCGTAAAATTCTCTCTTACTCTTTGTAGTTTGTACTCCACCAGCAGATGTAGTTTCTCTGAGGAGAGAAGCTTTTGCTGTTATTGAAAATGTCTTGGTACGTACGTCACAAAGGAACAAAACACAGAGCAAAGGAATATTCTGAGGATGATTTGCTATTAATTTTCTTTCTTCATTAAAATGAGATGGTTTCGTTTCATTCCATTCCTTGTAATGCCTGACATTCCTTGATATCTGCATAGTTACATGTTAAATAGCGTTTAAAGCAAATCTTATCAATCAAAGAATAAGAAAGTTATGCTTGAGCCTTACTGTTAAGACATCTTCAAAATCATGTCAAGCGCAACAATTTCTCTGAAAGTAATTCCCATTTGGCAAGCAAGGAATGGCATGGTATCTGTACTTTGTGTTTAACGAAGAGGAATGGATGCTTCAAGCAAGCTGTGAACGATGTCACTTTTTTATTGCAAAAAATAATGTCAGATTTAATCGGATGATGTGACTGGGAGTGAAGTGAGGGTGAAAGATGAAGTAAATTTGTTCTAACCAAGGACAAGTTTTTCACGATTTTAAACTTGTTCCCACTCGTTCTGTCATCTCCTTTTATATGCCACACTCGTGGTCAGGAAATCATCCTTGTCTCTGTGTGTGTATAGGTGGGCGCATATAACCTGAATACATTTTATATATCTCTTCTGTAGGAAACAAGATATCGACTCCGCCATTTGGATTTGATGCTGAATAATGAGGTTCGAGAAATATTTAAGACCAGGAGCAAAATTGTTTCTTACGTTAGGAGGTTCCTCAATGACCTTGATTTCTTGGAGGTTTGTTCTCGCTCTTAGTGTGCTTAGGCCAACTTCCTTTTTTCTGTTTTCCCCCCTTTCATTTACCAACTTTGCCTTCCTCTTCAAGGTTGAAACACCAATGATGAACATGATTGCCGGTGGAGCAGCAGCCCGTCCATTTGTAACACATCACAATGAACTTAACATGAGATTGTTTATGCGAATTGCACCCGAACTCTATCTTAAGGAGCTAGTTGTTGGTGGCTTGGACCGTGTTTATGAAATTGGAAAGCAGTTTAGAAATGAGGGCATAGATTTGACGCATAACCCTGAGTTCACTACATGTGAGTTCTATATGGCTTACGCAGACTATAATGACTTGATGGAGATTACTGAGCAAATGTTGAGTGGTAAGATTTTGTTGATTCTTATATTGTAACATTCTCTTCAAGTTACCTGGTTTATCTCCTGATGTGAAACCTTCAAGTAGGTATGGTTAAGGAACTTACAAAGGGAAGTTATAAAGTCAAATACCATGCAAATGGGATGGATAAGGATCCAATTGAGATTGATTTTACTCCACCTTTCACGTAAGTCTTGTATATTGATGGTCAAGAAATTGTGGCAATAAACTGTAATTTTCATTAATTGATTCATTTGGATGTTCTGATGTCTGCAGAAGGATCGACAAGATAGAGGAGTTGGAGAAGATGGCAGGCCTAAGTATTCCCAAGGACTTATCCAGTGAGGAAGCTAATAAGTATCTGAAGGATGCATGTTTGAAGTTTGACATCAAATGCCCTCCACCTGAAACAACGGCTCGTTTATTGGATAAAGTACTCTCCTTATGACCTTGTCATTGTTGCATGAATTTTGATTTCACGATTCCCTTTTCCGGCTAAATTTTTATACTGACATTAAACACGTGCCTAGCCAGGGGATAATTTATGTCTCGATGCTGATGAATCCACAATTAAAGAATGATAAGAATTCAAATAGTGGGAAGAGCATTCCTTCTACTGTGTTTTGGAGCCGAGGATGATATAGGCTAGATAATTGCCCAAAAGTAGTTAATACATTCTTTCCTGCCACCAATAAGGGGATAAAAAGTCTACTTGTGCATTTTACTTTTTAGTTCGTTTAACAAGTGGTTATTGCCATGGCAAAGTATGACACGTTTATTGCCCAGTTTCTCAATTATTAAGCTCCACCATCTCAATAGGCATAGGTCAGAATTGTGACATCAATGATACCATGTGAGATTGGAAACTGTACATGTATACGCTATTATAGCTTATTTATGCCTGTACATAATGTTCTGGAATTCTTAATCAATATCGAACTGTGTCTTAATTCTAATGTGATGCTATGTTTATCATGTTGAAGCTTGTGGGTCACTTCGTGGAGGAAAAGTGTGTGAATCCTGCATTCATCATAAACAGTCCAGAGATAATGAGTCCTTTGGCAAAGTGGCACAGATCAAAACCTGGCCTCACTGAACGTTTTGAATTGTTTGTTAATAAACATGAAGTTAGTCTCTGAACTTTTGGGTAATAATTTTGAATCGAACATGTTGGCCGCAATACCATTAAAGCTTCACATGACTCTTACTTTTCAGATATGCGATGCATACACTGAATTGAATGACCCAGCAGTACAGCGCCAGCGATTTGCAGAACAACTCAAGGTATTTGACATATAAAATGTGATATACTGATGTGTTTGTATCAGTATTGTGTGTTTATTACAATGCTTTTGGATTTCAGGATCGGCAATCAGGTGATGATGAAGCAATGGGCTTGGATGAAACATTTTGTACTGCTTTAGAGTACGGTTTGCCTCCAACTGGCGGCTGGGGTATGGGCATTGATAGGTTGACCATGTTGCTGACTGATTCACAGAATATTAAGGTTCTTGTCTCCCCCCCCCCCCCCCACCTTTTGTCTTTGAAATCACTGATTGCTTACAGTGTTTAAATGTTTTGGGATAAACAGGAGGTTCTCCTCTTCCCATCCATGAAACCCCAAGATTGAACATTCTAAGGTTTGTGCTATTACCTTATCTGATTAAGTGAAAAGCTCTTTTCTGCCAGTTTTTGGTTTCAGTTTTTGCTGGTGTTCGGGATTAAATGTGAAGAGAATTAAGAGAAATGAAAATGAGGAATTGTAAGTGATGTTGGCTATTATTTACTTGAATTCATATACAGATGCACCCCAAATTTTTTGAGAATTTCAACGAATGTATGATCTATAAATTGACTTGAGGTTGCCATTTTGAAGTTTAATTAATTGATACAAGCGTGTTTTAGTTATGCTTATGCTTATCTAATACTCCCTCCCCCGGGTCTTTATTAGGAGAGACTAATAAATAATTTACTTGTACTAATAAAAACAGTTCAACTCTTGGGAGGTGGATCTGGGTCTCATTCCGAGATCAACTAACGAGGTAGCCCATCATCTAGCCAAGAAGGCGCTAAGGACCGCCCCTGGTTTGCATTTGTTCTCATTCATGACTGAGGAGTTGCGTGAGTTAGTAATGAAGGATTACACCGTGGAGGCTGCCACTTTTAGTTTGTTTTGTTTTGTCTCTTGTGTATCAAAAAAAAAAACACAGTTCAAAGCATTAAATTTGTCATAAAATTAAGTGATTTTCAATATTATTCTCATTAACTACACTGAATTTCTAAAATCATATTAATTTCTACTCTCTCATTACCTTATTAAATATGGGCATATAAGGAAAAAAAAATATTTAATACTCATTAAAACTGTCATAGAGTTTTATAAAAAGGATCAAAAATATTTTTTTAAAAAGATCTTATAATAAGAATCAAAGGGACTAATAGAACAGTGAAAAGATTCTATTATTGTTATACATTGAGATACTTGCTCCAGTTCTTATTGTAGTCTAAAGTTTTAAAGTTATAATTAGTCCTAATATAGACAAAAAAAAATATGGCAGTTGTTTTTTTCTTTCAAATAACCCTCTTTAATTACGACTTACGAGAATGATTCCTGGATATTTTTATTATTAATTTTAGAGAAGGATAAAATTGAAAAATTGCATATTTTTTCTATATGTTTAAGGATGTCAACTACTATTCATTTAAGAACCATGAAGTCAATTAATTTTATCCTATCATTAGTGAATCATAACTGTCTGACTCATAATAATGACATAGCTTTATATCCATTATTAGTGAAATTATTAGTAACCATAACAAGTGTTTCGTATTGTTCCTCACTTCCTTGTGTCAAGATTTTTTTTTAAAAAAAATAACTATTCAAAATGTTACTTGTAATTGTATTAAGCACATTTATTCTCTTTCAGAGCCTCTTAACTTAGTCCATTCGCTAGCTGCTGCTGTCAAATTTCCTTGTGAGAACGTGAGAGTCTCGACAATTCATATTTGATTTACAAAATTATGGCATAGAGCTCAGACCTCTAGAACTCAGCTAAACCCTAATGATCAAAGAGTGCAGTTTAATTTCCTCAGGCCCAAAACAAAATTGCAGACAAAATCCCGCATCAATGCTTTAATTATTTAATACACGTTTGGCTAAGCGCTACAAAATCACTTTTTCAAGCAAAACCAAGGTTTCTGTGATTTCAAAAATTTAAAAAAAAAAAGATTAATGAACTAGAAACTATAGTTTGGAGGGATAAAAACCATGGTTTGAGGGAAAACTGAATTGATCAGCTTTTAAGAAAATCTTTTCTCCAAAACCACTTATTTCCAATCCAAACATGACATTAAAGGTAATCTCCAATCCTATATGGAGCAGTCTTACGTTGTAACGGTCAATAACTTCATTATGATTTATGAATGAAAAGGCATCTTCTTTCTAATTCCTACTTCACATTCATTTATCTTATAACATTTCTCAACTGCATAATTAAATGAAAAGATATATATATGAATCAAGATTCTTTAATGACATGCATTTGCACATGATGACTCTATTCCTTTTTTGTCGCAGGAAAAATGCTGCTACCTCCGGTCTTTAGTATAAGATTTTGTTTAATTTTTATTTTGAGCATAAATATAAGATCCCAATCTACTTTATTTCTCATATTTATCTTTTTTTTTTAAGATAATCCTTCTGATAATGGTAGTTTTAGATAATAAACTTGATTAGTAAGAATATTTTAGGAAAGACAACACTTATTTATTACGAATAATGAATTAACTTAACTTATTTTCTTAATCTACACAATTAGTCAATTAGTTCTTATATTTAGAACCGGAGGTAGTACCATGGAAAGAGAGTGTTTCCAAAAGACAATTAAAAAAACAACTAAAACAACCCAAACCAAGAGCACAACCAACAACTCAGGAGCGAAAACAAGAAGATTATAACAAAAGCTAAGAATAACAACAACAAAAATCAGAAGGGGCAGTACAATTCAATTAGAATAAAACTCAAACAAGCAGCCAGCATGTGTACAATCTTAAATGGTTGGTTGAGATTGAAGATAAAGAGATGGTCCTCATTGGTTTTTTTAACTCCGGCATAATTGAATTGAATGCTTAAAGTTGAATTGAATGAACAAGCAGATTAGGACGTAGAGAACGAACCAGTGGAATATCTGACTGATAAAGACAGGCAGAACCAGGAAAAAGAAAAGTGGATGTTATGTGCTCTGCACTTTCCTCAAAAATCATATCTCATTCCACATCCACATTCATTCATTTCTAGTCCCATTTCTGTACCAATAAACATCAATTATTTATTTATTAATAAACTCCACATATATAAGTAGATATAATTAAGAATCTTCCAAGGTTGAAAGATGATAGGCAGAAAAAGAAGGCTGAGGGAGACAGAAAAGAGTGGGCAAAATACAATCAATCACCTTCAAATTTCTTTGCAACCCCATGGAATCATCATCCAAAAATTTCTGACTTCTTTCCTTTTTCTTTCTGTTTGAAAATATTCTATGTATGATAATGATTTTGTAAAGATATTCTAATATGTAATGATGATAATAAATTAATAATGCAATCTTAGGTTGATTTTGGATGAAGATACATCTCCTCACAAGTCACGAACCTTTTTATAGTGGAAGACATGCTTGAATTCCATTCTACATCGACTACTATACTATAATCTATCCGCGCAGTCTATTCCTGTGGACGTCCTTTTCATATTATCACACTTTATTTCACTTTTATTGAAATTTATATATAACTCTTTAATTTTGTCCATCGTCAATTATATATATTAGAGGAGGACCCACAAATTTGGACCAGCTGAATGCACCTTTTCCAAAGCCCAAAAGGAAATGCATGCCTTTCTATCAAGTATATTGTAGTGCTTCTTATACCTATAATGTTATGTTAAAAAAATTTATGGTAGAATAAGCCTGACATTTTGTTTACCAGTTCAGATTACAATTCTATATGTCTAATAAGTTCAATTTAATATATATATATATATTTCAAGTATAATAAAGAATGAACTATCATCATTACTCAATTTTGTTAATTGACTATTGCCCATAAAAAAATAATTCTAGTTGCCTAAACAAAATATTATTTGGTACAAAGTTGGTCATATAAATACATACACGTTTTATTTTCTTTATTTCATTCTTTTCTTTAATTATATGCATGATAATTTCCTCATACGAGCCCAGTTAATTCCATTTTTTACATAAAAAATGCATGGTTAACCACTAAGCCATTTGATGCACTTGGGTCTACCTAACATATCTGGCTCCACACCTAAACATTGCGTCATTTGCTTACCTAGCTTTAAGCAAGTTGGTGTTTTAAAAAAAGGGCTTACGCATGAGAATCCATAAAGCCCACCTCAACATGACTATAACTAACCAAATCTTAGCTCTCATATTGCCATTGTTAAGATTTAGGCCTTCCTTTAAAAAAAAAAAAAGGTCTAAACAACAACTTGTGATCTCGTGGCATCATTTATTTTCACTTAATTATCGTATTAGTGACATTTATAAGTTTAAGTTATGCTCTGAGGACAAGAGTGGAGCGCGTCTAACTTTTCCTCCTAAATAATCAACCATAACTCAGAATTTTCTAATCCGAATCAACATCTCTAATCCTAACATTCACATGTGATCAGTTCCTTATAATTTCATTTAAATGGGAAGAGGTTAAAATTTTCATGAAGAAACGAAAGCACATAATTCATCCACTAATTAAATATTTTTAATGGAAAAAATAAATGCTAACGACTTAAAATTACAAGTGGAATTAAACTCATAATCTCTTACTTTTAAAAAAGCTTTCATACCATTAGGCTATAAAATTATTGGCAATAATTGAATATTAATTCTTCCCTCAACATGTCTTGTTTAATTTCAAAGATAAATTTTTTTAGTCTACCTTGCTTGTGAATGAGATGACGACTCAAACCCAAATAATCAAATGAATTAAATGCATATTAAAAAATGGTTTTGATTGACAGCTCTTTCTTGGCTATTGGATATTATATGATGGATGAATTGATTAGAACCCAATTTTCCTTTCACACTGGAATATGTTAAGAATATGGAATTGACAAGTGGGGGGAAACAAGATAATGTTGTGGACAAATGGGACGTTGAAAGAGAAAATGGATAAATTAATGGTAACATCCAAAGTTGTCCGTAGAGGGATCATCACATAATTGACCATAATTTGCATAAATTAACAATCAGTCATACGTATGAATGTGAATTAATTAACTATAATATATCATTAATTAACTATATTATCGAAATGTACCACTCTGTTGTTATATATAAATCGCTACCAATCAATACCAATAACAAATAGACGTGGGCGAAGAAGAGCCTTCAGTTCCAATTAATTGCGTACGGAAATAAAAAAAGTGATTTAAGTAAAGCGACATTCATAATTAACTAATTAATAACAAATACGTGTCCCATGACCTAAGTCTGATAAGATGTAGTTAACTATCAGTACTATCTCATGTTCTTAATATAAGAGCTAATTTGTAGTGCAAAGGACCGGTGATAGTATTATATTTTGTTCAACAACATAGTTAATGAATGAATATTTGACCTGTATGACAATCTAATTGCCTAGAATTAAGCGGGCAGTTCAAATTAAATGTATCTTTATTTTATATTCTGAACCTATTAAATTA